CAAAAGGGTCCAAAATTAAACTTTGTTTGATTTCATCAAAAATTGAATTATTGGGGTTCTTTGATATTCCAAATCTAACCGTGTATTTAGATTTTTAATTTTAAGTCCCGTTTTTTAAATTGGTCTACATTAAGGTCCAAAGGGTCCAAAATTAAACTTAGTTTGATTTTAGCAAAAATTGAATTCTTGGGGTTCTTTGATATGCTGAATCTAAACATGTGTTTAGATTTTTGATTATGGGCCCAGTTTTCAAGTTTGTCCAAGTTGGGGTCCAAAATTAAACTTTGTTTGATTTTAACAAAAATTGAATATATGGGGTTCTTTGATATGCTGAATCTAACCATGTATTTTGATTTTGGACATTGGACCATAATAGGTAAATTAAAAAAAATCAAGTTCTTAGACCACATTCTTTCTGTGTCAGAAACCTATGCTGTGTCAAATATTTAATAACAATCCAAATTCAGAGCTGTATCAAGCTTGAATGTTGTGTCCATACTTGCCCCAACTGTTCAGGGTTCGACCTCTGCGGTCGTATCAAGCTGCGCCCCAGCGAAGCATTTTATTCATTTTTTTGCGGAGTTTCCCTTTAACTCGGCAGTCCTCAATGCGCAATCGCACTTTGTCCCTTGAAGGAAAAATGTCAAACAGAGAAATGTTATCGCGGGAATGGAATGTGTATTTACAGTTTCTGCGAGAAAAAGGTACAGAAAAGAGGTTCAGACAAGCTGAGACTACTATAACACTGTTATAGTAGTCTCAGAGACAAGTTATTGTAAATTGAAAATAAATAACGGCGATGAGATTGGTCATCAGAATCACTTCAAAAACCTGAAACGCAGGCAAAGTCACACAGAAGTAGCCGACCTAGTACGACGTTTTGCAAAATGTTTACATTTCTAAACTATTCCAGATTACATGAAAACAAATCACGACGTGTTCAAATCATTATTGTCCAAAATATGTTTATAAATTTACGGGAAGTGATCTCCCAACTTAGCAGAAATTAAAAATCAACTTCTTACAATTAAATATTATTTTTCCGGTGTATCCTTCATGATGGCCCCAATTCAATTCACAAACACGTGTATATATTATCGGCATTGTTTTGTCATACAAATGTAAAAACAAGTGTATGATATCGCCATTGTTTGAGAACCTTGGGTTCGAATAATATGCAGGCTTTTGTTATATTTTGTTGTTTACTTATTTGATAAATGGTGTCAAATATGTACGTTTAATATAAAGACATTATCAAATACGTAAGAAAACAAAAAGCACATGTTCATATCTATTCATATCTGGGTCATTTCACAAACCCAATACATAATTAATGAGAAGAATAGGCAGGCAACACAATATTAATTATAAATTATTAACACTTCTGTAGTTTATGTAAACATTCCAGCGATCTTATTGTGAATTTTTAGTACATATCTTTGATTTTAGCAGCTTTAAAACTTGGTCATAATTTTGTCAAAATCGTAGCTACTATCCCTTTAAACTTTGCCCAAAATATTAGGAAGATAGACAAAATTATGAGATGAGATTTTGACACAACTGGAGACAAATTTTTTATACAATAAAGGAAATTTATTTTTATATATTCAGTGTTATTCTTTGAATGTATCAGCTTTACCAATCTAAAGCTCTTATGATACCCATTAAACTCATCGTAGATACCAGGATTAAAATTTTGTACGCCAGACACACATTTCATCTACAAAAGAATCATTAGTGATGCTCGGATAAAAAAAGTACAAAGTTGAAGAGCATTGAGGACCAAAAATTCCAAAATGTTTTGCTATATAAAGCTAAGGTATCTTTAGTATATCGAAAAATTCAAAGTTTCGTAAACAGTTAATTTCAGGCTTCACCCCTAAATATTGACAAATAATCTTTTTAAGTTATATGTTATCTATTATAGTTATGTTAGAGTTTCTTTGGTTTTGTTATACGACCGCAAAAATTAAAAAAATTTTGGTCGTATATTGGTATGACGTTCGCGTCGTCGTCGTCGTCGTCCTGCGTCGTCCGAAGACACATTGGTTTTCGCACTCTAACTTTAGTTTAAGTGAATGGATCTCCATGAAATTTTACCATAAGGTTCAATACCACGAAAAGAAGGTTGGGATTGATTTTGGGGGTTATGGTACCAACAGTTAAGGAATTAGGGGCCAAAAAGGGGCCAAAAATAAGCATTTTTGTAACTTCCAGACAATAACTTGTGTGTAAGTGTATGGATCTCTCTGACATTGTACCACAAGGTTCCATATCTCAAAGGGAAGGCTGTAATTGATTTTGGGGGTAATTGCCTCAAAATTTTAGGAATTAGGGGCCAAAAAGGGGCAAAAAACAAGCATTTTTCTAGTTTCATGACAATAACTTGTGTGTAAGTGTTTGGATATTTCTGAAATTGTACTACAAGGTTCCATATCACAAAGGGAAAGCTGGAATTGAGTTTGTGGGTAATTGCCCTAAACGTTTAGGAATTGGGGGCCAAAAAAGGGGCCAAAAATAAGCATTTTTCTAGTTTCCAGACAATAAACGTGTTCAAGTGTATGGATCTCTCTGAAATTGTACTGCAAGGTACCATACCAGAAAGGGAAGGCTGGGATTGAGTTTGGGGGTGATGAATCATAAGGGGGTTCAAAAAATTTGGGGAGGGGGGGGGATTTTTTTTTTTTCTTTTTTTTTCTTTTTTTCCTTTTTTTTTCTTTTAAAATTTTCCATTTTAAGTTGGTTAATTCTGATTTATATTTAAAAGCAAATAATAATGATATGGTAGGAGATACACACCAAACAGGATGTGTAAATTATTATATAATAATAATTGTGCAATAGCAAGAAATTTTCAATTGCACAGTATTGCACAATAGCAAGAAATCTTCAATTGCACAGTATTGCGCAATAGCAAGAAATCTTCAATTGCACAGTATTGCGCAATAGCAAGAAATATCCAATAGCACAATATTGCGCAATAGCAAGAAATTGTCAATTGTACAGTATTGCGCAATAGCAAGAAATATTCAATTGCACAGTATTGTGCAAAAGAAGATACTTTGTATAAATTGCTTATTTCTTGATCAATTTCAATGGGGTTTTATTCTTGAATTCTTGGGGTTCTTTAATATGCTGAATCTAACCGTGTATTAAGTTTTTGGATTTTGGGCCCCATTTTTAAATTGGTCCACATTGAGGTCCAAAGGGTCAAAAATTTAACTTTGTTTGATTTCATCAAAAATTGAATTATTGGGGTTCTTTGATATGCCGAATCTAACCGTGTATTTAGATTCTTAATTTTTGGTTCCGTTTTCAAATTGGTCTACATTAAGGTCCAAAGGGTCCAAAATTAAACTTAGTTTGATTTTAACAAAAATTGAATTTTTAGGGTTCTTTGATATGCTGAATCTAAACATGTATTTAGATTTTTGATTATGGGCCCAGTTTTCAAGTTGGTCCAAATCGGGGTCCAAAATTAAACTTTGTTTGATTTCAACAAAAATTGAATATATGGGGTTCTTTGATATGCTGAATCTAATCATGTATTTAGATTTTTGATTTTTGGGCCCCCTTATCAACTTTGTCCACATTGAGGTCAAAAGGGTCTAAAATAAAACTTTGTTTGATTTCATCAAAAATTGAATTCTTGGGGTTCTTTGATATGCTTAATCTAACCATGTATTTAGATTTTGGATATTGGACCATAATAGGTGAATGTCCAATTTAAAATTTTTAAGTTCTTAGCCCACATTCATTCTGTGTCAGAAACCTATGCTGTGTCAAATATTTAATCACAATCCAAATTCAGAGCTGTATCAAGATTGAATGTTGTGTCCATACTTGCCCCAACTGTTCAGGGTTCGACCTCTGCGGTCGTATCAAGCTGCGCCCTGCGGAGCATTTTATTGTTTTTGGGTTGCTATTGATGCATACACCATGTCTCCTTTTACTAATATAAACAAGAAATACTGTGAGCTGTCACTCCCTTATGACACCATGGCTATAAGTTGTTTATTGGACCTTAATATTAAAATTTCACATGTAATATTCCAAAATTTATAATATAAGGGATGACTTTTCATTCCTATTGTTATTTTTATTTCTTTGATGATGATGTTCCCTTACCTCTTTCTTTTTGAGTGTTCATTTCTTAGTTGGTTTGAACTGTGCATGTTTGGAGTCAAGTCAAGATTTCAATGAACGTAATATTTTCATTACTAATAAACTTTTACAGCAGGGGTAGAATCATCATGAATTGTTTAAAACTATGAAAATTTATCACAATTATAGAAATTTATTGTCAAAGTATGATTCCATGGACAAGAATTTAATAAAAAGTAGTATTTTGCATCCAATTTTAACAGTAATACTGTTTATAAGGTTAACAAATTTAGGAATTGTCCTTTTGCTGACAATTATTCTGTTCAAGAGTTCTGTCCCTTGGTATTGCAAGTACTATGGAAATTTGCATTGTAAATGCTCTCAAGCCTACATTTCTTGTCAGATTTTTATGAGATTTATATCAAAGCTTTGTTTGGACGAGTTCCAAAATCATTGATGATGTTTTGTTCACTTTGACATTGAATGCGTTCTAATACTAATTTGTTTATCTATTATACCTATGTCAGAGTTTCTTTGTTGTTGGGTTACTGTCTCATTGATGTAAACCCCACATCTCCTTTTACTCATATAAACAAGATCTACTGTAAGCTTTCACTCCCAAATGATAAGTATGTGGTAAACAAGTTGATGAGCAATGGATGTATAAAATACACCACACAGTTTAGCATGCTCACATGAAGCTCTGATACCAAGATTCACGAATCCCAGATTCATAGTTTCTGAGAAAAAATGCAAGGAAAATTAAATGGGAAGGACAGAGGTTAACCAATATGAGTCAGATAGACATACATTATTACTATGTCCCTCATGTATACTTTGGTGGAGCTCATAAACTCATTTTTCAGTTCACAAAATGAAAAACAAAGTCAAAAGTATTGAATGAACTTTTCAGTTTTATTTCAAAAATGTTAATATCAACTCTGGGGATTTCTTTGTAAAATAGATTTTTTTTTGTAAGAACCGAAAAAGCTTTTTCTCTGTCACCTTGATAGCTATTGTTCTATCCTGAACTCTGGACAAATTTAAAAAAAAATTATAGACATGCTAAAATAATAAAAACATTGCCAAAAAAATTCATATTGTGTCAGATTTCCGGTACATTAATTTAACATTACACAGGTCGAAACAATTAAAGTTAGTACCAAGCATCTGCTAGAATCTTCACTTCAGAATAAAGTTTAAAGATTGTAAAACCCTGAGATAAAAAAAACTGTCCTAAAACATATTCACTATTATCTTAGAAATAAGCCCAAAACAAAACTCAAAGAAATCATTAAAAGTTGACTGGCAGATATTTGTTTCAGTATGTGCTATAAAAATACATCATACATTACCATTTTTATTATTTTAACTTGCATGTTCCTTTAAAATAAGTGAATTTTTAGTATAAAGGGAAATAACTCAATTTGTTGAAAATAATTTTACAGAAATACCGCAATTAATGATGTTAATATTTCAACAAAGGGGTTAAGAACAGAAATTTATATAATTTTAATATATCTTTTTTAACTGTACTTCAAGGTCTTCCAAATTGTCATATGATTATTTTCTGCTAAAAATATTTTCCTACTTTAAATAAAATGTAACATGCAAATAGATAATAAAAATCACTAAATTTGTTCAATATTAGATTTCTAATTCAATTGTTTTGTCTTCTCTTGCACTTTTATAAAGTCAAATTTAAGTTGACATTGTTGTAAATCATTTGTTGTTAATGATCAATGTATGAACCATTCTTAACATCTTTTTATCAACTGACTTTCAACTGAATACTGCAGTACTTGTGGTATCAAATAAGACCTTTCCAGATGGAGTAAGGGAACATAACTCTAGATACTTATATCCTAATAATTTGTCTAATGTTTTACAAAAATTGCATTGCTTATATCAATTTAACATAAAGAACTAGAGCACCTAAAAGTTATTTAGCCCAGTGGAGCTAGCATTGCCTGAATCCTTGGAAGCAAATATAATAAAAATTATTCATTTTAGAAGTAAGAATTATGACAGCATGAATAGTTTTTTTTTATAATGATATGAATGTTCTTACAAATGATAATGCATTTATCAACACTGATGTGTGTAATGATTCATCATGTACAAAATGGTTGCTAACTATGATAAAATTAAACTACAATAAAAATGCTTTTTCAAAATAAAAAAACAAATATTAAATTAAGTGCAAAAATAATAATTACATATAAAAGCACTGGCAGATGTAAAAAAAAATATAATGTAAATAATCTAAAAAGCATTATGAGCTGTATATAATTGAATGAGATATTTATGACAATCGGTACCCTCTATGGCTTGTCATTATATATATAAAATAGCACCATGGTATTAGTGTCGATGCAAATCTACACTACCTTTTAAAGAAATTTCACCTTAACATCTGTTTTTTTTTCTTTCACTAAAACTAACTCATACAATCAAATACTTGTAAATGAATATATACAATATATTGGCTATATCTCTTAACAGTATTAGGAAGGCTATCAAATAGGGTTTTTGTATGAATCAACCTTAATACATTAAAAATATGAAATTGTTATAAAAAACAAAGAAAATTTTTAAATGGTATTAAATCCCCGAAATCTTGAAACAGCAAAATCTGAATCAATATGCTATGGGAAATCACCAAAAAAAAAAACCTGAGAGTTTTTAAATTTTAACAAAATGGAAGAAGGCATACAAGATTTTGACATTGTCCTGCCAATGAGGTTTCAGAGTTTATAGTATAATGTAAGATTTATAGTTTCATGCATTGTGGCAGGGACATGAGGATTTTAGAGTGTCCTTAATTGTACATGTACAGTCAAACCTGCTTTATGAAGGTCACCTCTATTCAGCAAAAACCTGTCTTGTCAGGTGACCCTCTTCTTTTCCCTCTGTAGTATTACCTATGTATTGTGAAACTCAATTCAAAGGTCCCCTCTTCTATAAGGTCATTTAAGGTGACCTTTATATACAGGTTTAACTGTATTTGCTTATTTATTTTTAATACATTATTTCAGTATAAAAACGCAAAAGTACTTGTTACCTTAATGAAGTATAACTGAAACTCTTAAAAACTTACTACTGGTATGTACATGTAATATCAAATAATTATTAGGGTTATATAACACTGTAGTATACAAAATAACCATTCTCACACCACAACAACATTGTTCAACTCCTCCTGGAGGGACCAGAGCAAACCACAGTCTGTCGTTTCATCCTTTTTCCCTTTTTAATCAGTATTAGATTAATGTACTGTTGCAGTTTCTGCAATCAGCAATTGAAAATCTACGACTCTTTTCAATGTTCTCAAAAATATTAGATTTATAGGCAGAACCTATACCACAAAAAACAGCTACACTAACATTTAAATGCCTGATATCATTTCATGATAATGAAAAAAAAAATCTTTTTTAAAATAAAAATGATGAGATCTCGCAAAGTCAGACCTTACATAAAAATATCACATTATGGCAGTGAGATAAACATGGCGTAGCCATTTGTCATCAACTAAACTGTTATATAAGGTCCAAAGGTCAGCATCTAGGACAACACTGTCCTGGAACTTGAGTGGGTCTTTCACAGTTATGTATCACCTCACAAATCTCTTTTTCACATTGAATTGTTCCTTTCTGAAAAGAAAAATCACAAAAGGTCAAATAAAAAAAAATCTGTATTTAGGATTTCACAAAGACTGGTTCTTATTTAAATCTTGGACCATAAAAGATTATAAAATTTTATGAGGATTTCTTAGCAATAAACTTTTTACCAACATATAAGTTCTTATAACTCCCAGCTCATACTATCAGAAATTATTGCAAGGTTTTTACTTATGCAAATAATGCAACTAGGTGAGAATTGCAATAATAAGAACTCGCATTCTGGTATTTGATAGATATATCTGTATGCAGATTTTCCAGAAATCACATTAATTAATTTACTTTTTTGTCCATTCTTCAAAAATTGCAATTATAAATGCAGCCAATAATTTCTGAATTTACAGTATGTCAATTATTGGAACAGGACTTATGATATTGTATTTTTAGATGAAAAGTATAACATAAAATGTAACGTAAATTTATAGCTGTAATAATGTAACACACATATAACAAATTTACCTGGCATACACATGTTTTACAATCATCAACTTTCCAGGTGTCTTGGTCTCTCCTCTTTCTTCCGGTTTCATCTTTACAAAATTTCTTATGATGTTTCATCTGTCTATGCATCTTTTTCATCTATATATAAAAAGACATGCATCTATATTTCTATGTTACAAATCAATATTAAGTTATAGCTATTACAGTTTGGCATACACTATAATTTACAAGTAGCTGAGAACTTCATTTGTTGCTTTAATACTTGGAACAAGAAACTTAGTAAATAATATAGTTCTCAAACTGACTGTTTAAGGTAAATACATCAACCTTGAGTTTGCCCACCATAAGAGATGATAAAACACTTTCCCTGCAATTTTTTTTCAGCATCACAACAGAAAATATTTGATGTCACAGACTAAGTGATTGTTTTGCAAATGCCATACAGTCAATTGAGGCAAAAATAAGGTTAGTTTGAGAGAAGGCCTGGAACTCAAAATTGCTGTATAATTAATAACCTGAGTATATATAAGACGTACTGTTAACTTCTGTCCACAAATATATTGTGTCTGCCACATTTAAATGAAAATAAATATTTTGCAAAAAAGGTATAGTGGCCCTTCCCAATTAACCCTTTCAGCACAAAACTATTCTCAGTGTCAGATTCTACCCCCATTTAATCTGACATGCACATACCTTTTTCTCCATAAATGTCATAGAATCTGTTAGATCACTTATTGTGGTCTCCATGTTGTCAATTCTAGTCTCAAACTGGTGTATATGATTGTTAAACACTTTAATTTGATCATCATAGACAGTTCTATCAAACTCATGTCGAACAGGTTGTCTTGGTCTGTCGTTCTGTATTTGTGTAAAATCATTTCTGAATGAAAATTGTCGAGATTGCCTGCTACGGGAGTACTGACTTGTTATGGACTGGAAGTCACCAGCTTTACTACAATCTGTTAAAAACAAATATCATATGTTATGCAAACTTTTGAAAATTCATTGTAAAATCACTGGTAGATTTGGAGGTGGTATTTACCTTGAATTTAGAAAGCTCCATCCATAAAATCAAAAGGTAGTATTGAATTCATAGGAAAGATATCCATGTACCACCCTCTGACAAATCACATGTTAATTTACCAACCTCTGGGCATTCAGTTAAGCATAAACGATACTGCCCTAATTAGTGGAGGGTATTGCAATAGATTACCTCACAAGCTTAAGTCAAGGGTGATATTATTTCTGAGTTTGGTAATCAACTTTCTCTTATGGTAATGATCTGTAATCTATTTCTCGCATGAAGAGATATTTTTGTATCACACTAAAGGGAGTGTGATATAAGTAACTGATACGAAAAATGCTTTAATGGTAGGCATATCCTATATGTGTTACGAAAATTGCTACATTTACACTGGCTATTCGTTCTATCAAAGATGACTTTCAAAGGTTATAAAAGACTACTTTTAAAAAAAAAAGTTATTTGATTCCAGCTTTATTTTCACCAGTACTTATATAATAATCAGAATCATAACTCTTGGAATGAGAATTTGGAAAATATAAAACTCATGATTTAACAAGTTTTTCAGTAGATAAGTATATATAATTTCCATATTTGAAGCCATAAGTAGTTGATCTATAGTTATTGTTTCTTTAAACTTGAAAAAACACAGTTAGGTGTCTTGGTTGTTTGTGTAGTTGGGTTGCTGTCTTATTGACTAATACTACACACCTCCTTGAATTCACATCTATACACCAATCTTGGGTTGATTTTTATGGATGCGTTACAGTTCCGGTTGACCCAAGGTTAATTGGCATAAACGACGTCATTGAACAATCGGTTCTTACTGTGATGTAATAGCATAAACATTGTGACATAGGAATGGGCAATAATTTGAAAGTCGTCTTTATTAATGACAGAAATATATACAATATATACACAAGCTCATGTTTTTCTCTGACTGTTAATGATGTCTTTACACTAAATCCATTGGATGTGTACTGATTGATATTTTAGTCTTAGAAACATGATTTTTTTTATTAGTTGTTATTGGCTTTGAACTAGCTGTCAGTAACTGCTAGTACTCTCAGATCTGTACTTAGTGTCCTTTTTGTTGTTTGGGATGAGGGATGGATAAATACCCTGCAATGTCCAGTCTGTGTTTTTGTTAAGTGTTTTTCTGCTTTGTATCGATCTGATGAGTTAAGCCTTTTTCAACTGATTTTTATACTTTGTTCTTACGTTGTGCTGTTACACCACTGTCCCAGGTTAGGGGAGGGTTGAGCACTCACAAACATGTTTAACTCGACACATTCTTTATGTGCCTGTCCCAAGTCTGTAGTTCAGTTGTTGTCATTGATTCATATCTGTCATATTTGTTTTTTTCGTAAATTGTTTTGTTGTAAATTAGACCGTCAGTTTTCTTAATTGAATTATTTCATATTTCATGTCAGGGCCTTTTATAACCGACTATACGGTATGGGTTTGAGCTGTCTACATTTTCTATTGGTCTCTGATGGAGAGTTGTCTCATTGGCTATTATACAACTTCTTATTTTTATAATTATACATTAGAATATTCTTTCATAAAAAAAAGCATCAGAGAAGAAAGAAACAATGATAAAACAAATAATAATATAGTATTTAACTCACCAGCACAGCAGTCTGACCACATATTAATGTTCAGTTTGGGTATTTTGTCACAGCTTATGTACTCGGACTTGTCATGGACTCTGAGAAACACGTCTTTCTGTACTTTGTTGATGTTGTCACCACCGTCACACAGAACACTTGATAATGTCATCTGTTTTATGGCACTTAACTGGTCTACTGTGAACACACCGGGATTCTCATACCAAAATCTAATTTGAAAATAGAATAGTGTGACATACTTTTACAAAACATGACAAAAGAATATTAGCTTACTATTACAGAAAATTTAGACTAAAAAATTTACTGTGTTTATTACTATACAATGCTGGAAGAGTTTTGTTCGTCCTGTTTCAGTCTGTTCATTTAAAAATTATGTTAAATAAATAAACATACTTATTAAATGATATGAGCAAATCAGCTCTAATACGGATAAATCAGCATGTGCAATACTAATGACGTTGCCCTGTTGATAAAAATCAAGAGTTAATATTACTTTTCAGACAGGGCTAATAGGAAAAAAAAGCCACATTGGCCCATGGGCTAATACGGGATGTTCACTTCCGGTTTCAATTTTCTTACGCCTTACTTAACTTTGGACGTATCGTTATGCATAAAAAACATTGTATTATATTTTTTTAACTTGAAATCATAAAATAAAAAGTTTAAATGATGTTTAGTGTTTTGTAACGTCTTGAAGTCTTGAAACGGAGATATTTCACAGCCTTTTCGAGTACGACTTTCGATTATTGACACTGTTTCATTTCCGTTGATCAATAATCAGAACGCAGACGATCCAAGAGTAGGAATAGTTTTAAAAACTGTCTGATTTATTCTTCCCAGCTACTTTATATTTGCTAGATAAAATGAATTGAAATAGCATAATGTTTATTAAGTACTTGGACGAGAAATCAGAAATCACAGAAATGACTCTGTTGACAAAAAAATCCATGGACGTGAATGCGAAAAGACAAGTTCAGATTATGAATTCTGTATCTTCTTCACGGTAAGTTTCTTAGTTTATTCTAATTAAAATAATGAAAATCATTTAATAAAAGTGTTATTAACTGGCTGTTTCTGTATTGGTCCTGTTATAGATTCTCGGTTAGCTGTATTGGACCCGAGACTCGAAGAGTACAGAAACAGCCAGTTAATAACACTATATTACCAAACAAACAAAATTTGTCAACTGTTTTTAAACAGGTTAGTACAAATTAAATTTTTACACTTTTTGCTTTTGTTTACAAATATTGTTTCAAGCCACCTTCTCTAAGTATTCAGCAAGATGTAAAATAATAATTGTTCTGAAAATTATTTTTAAATTTCTATCTTCCACAGAAGATATGTGTTACACCTATTGATAATAGCATGTGTCCCTGCATAGTAATAAACTGACACTTGCATGCTTCATATAATAATGCCAATGTGGATAAACCTGAATTCATTGTGATAAAAACTAGTGGTACAATAAAAGCCTGTGTAGCTCACATGGTATCTATGTGAAGAAGATCTATCCCATAAGATCTAGTGTAAAATTTTATTCATTTGCTATAGCAGGCAAAAAATATGTTATGTTTGACACGTGGCTGAGGCTTACAGAGATTTCCCATGGAATGAAATTAAGTACTTGCTGTTTAACATTGATTTTTGTTTCTTTTATGAATATAATTCTTGCATGAATTATTAAAATAGAATACTTTAATTCCCATTCAGAAAGAAAAACAAAATAGCAAGTGTTCCCCAAACATAGCTGCTGCAAATTACATCAATTCAGCAAAAAGCCAGTTTTAGTTGAATTTGAATTTTGTATATTTACCACTTTGTTCTATTTATAGTTAGTATGGGCCATAATTTGATGGTTCAATGGGGACATCAGGGAAAATGTAGCTATCAAAAATTAATTATATATTGAAATCTTAAACTATTCAAGTTTGGTTGACTATGCAGGTGCCATACAAAAGAAAACTGATGTTATATTATACCTATCACCATCTCTAAGTCTTTTGAACTGATCCACTATAATACACATAAAAGTTGGTCCAACTTTAGCTCCTTCCAAAGGAGTCTCTGCCATTCCACCAACAAATAAATCAATGTTTCCTGAAATATAGATTTTAGGAATTACATAAAGTATCGTTTCTTCTGTTTATATACAGGTCTGTAGCTTTTTTATCATCTGATATTAAACAAAAGCAATAATAAATTTGTAACTTGCTTTTGAGAAAATGTTTGAAACATTCAAATGATTTTGACATATAATTAAGCTGGGCATGTCTTAAAAATAGATTCTATAGCTCAGTGTACCTATTTATTAATACATTTTTTATTGAAACACTCTAATCTTAGATTTAATTTTAAATCTCATGAAACAGTCAACTAAAAAAATATTATTGTTCAAAGCTCTTCAAATTTTACAAGACAATTACTTCTGATTAAGAAAAAAGCACTATTTTAATAAAAATAAATCAGGATTTGTTTTTGAAACAAACATATGGATATCACCTTTTCATCCTGTTAATTATTACAATGGAAAGTTACTTTGATTTGATATGACCAAATTATCCAGCAGGTTTCATTTTAGATTTTATTGACAGATGTAAGACAAAAAAGAATATGCTACCCTGCACATAACTCTCTTACGAAATATTTGTAACATTTTTTAAAGTAAATTATATTTTTTATCAAGATACATACCATAACAGAATAAATTCCATACCTGGATGATTATATAGATCCCGTAGTTTTGATAAAACTCTTGGTGATATTTCATTTTGTAAATCATTAAATGTATTAGCTTCTGGTAATCCACATAGTCTTCTATACTCATTATAAAATGGAAGAGCATGATCTCTACCTCTTTGTATATTCAGAGAGGCTAAATCCTGGCCAACTACATTAGCTAATGAAAATAACTTCTCTGTTAACTCAGAATTCATCATTTCATCTGGCATTCTCTTTTTAGCTGAGAAAGCAAGAAGTCCACGTAAAATTGGATCTATTCCACCTTCTTCAATTATTCTATGAGGTGAAAAAAAGGCTTGATGTAATGGTAAATTGCCTTCAGCAATTGGCTGGAAACTTTCATTCAGTCTTAAAATGATTGGTTGAATCAAAGAATGTCCAAATCTAAAAGCTGCCGTAGCAAACTCATTCGATATTGATGGATTAACATTTGGGTCATAAAGTCTGTACAGTCCTAATTTTTTCAATCCACTTTCACCTACAATCTTTGGCAACCATTGGCGATATGTGATATGCTGCATTATAGCACCCATAACTTTTCTAGTTTCATGATACAGCATATTGCCGTCCCAGTGTGGATTCAGCAACGAAAATCTTGAAACTAGATGATTATGGTATCTCATGAATAAAGTATGCATTGCTGTTAGAGCAATTTGTTCGTTAGCACGAGGATCACCAGCTCTAAAACAAGGAACCCTTTTCTTGTTTGGCTCCACCTGACAATCAAGATGGTGCAAGAAACCAGAATTATCAAAGGGAAGTAATCTCTTCCCACCAGTTGAGAGAACTCCAACTCTCATTAATCCTGTTGATTCACGTAGTCTTTGTGCTTCAAAGTCACTACTACCATAAACACTGCTTCCATCTATGTATGCTGTGATAACATTCAATTGTTCTCTCGGAGCAAAAGTCTTATAAAAAATAGATGTAGAACCAGAATTACACAAAGCACTACTTCTTGTAAATCCCAGACAAGCATGGGAGGTAATTCTATTATCACTTCTAGGAACAGGAATAGGATAACAGGGGTAGGATTTGTCACATGTCTCATTACACCTGCGACCATCACTAAACTGTGCATAACTGATTGACTGAGGAGTTAAGTCCATGTCATGGTCTGCAAACTGGCCCCACTGCATCAACATGTGTGTATAAATCTCATCTTCTGTCACATGATCTGTAGACATTAATAATGATGACACAAGACGAGGGCTTGGTAAATGTATTCCATTGTACAGTTTGGATTGTGTCCATCCTAAATTAAAAAATCAACACATATTTTTTTTTTATTAAATATTTAATATACAGTATAAATTTCTGCTTTAGTAGTTAAAATCAATCAAACTGAAGAAAAACAATTAATTTCTTTTGAATGAAAATGTACCTATAACCATGTATCAAATAAAAATCTATAGTGTAGAATAGATAACCAGAGGCTAACAATATGTTAAAATTTGCAAGAAATAAGCATTTGAAGGTAAATTTTATTTTGCTCCCCTAAACTGTAGTTTAAGAACATGAAAAACAAATATTTTCATTTAACAGTTCAAAGGAAATTATCCAAACAAGGTTAAACGAGATTTAATTTCTGAAAGTATCATGTATATACGGACATTGGGTTTATTGTTAGAACATACCTAGATGTTACATACATTTCTCACATAAATTTGCACATACCTACAGGAGTATTGAATCCATTTTCATAAATTGGCGGTAATAATCTTTTAAATCCAGTAACAGAAGATCCCCAGGTTGGATTCTGTAAATTATTACATGTTCCATCTAATGTACGATATTTGCGATGATAACACATGTTGTTGCAGTTGAGAATATCACGTGGTACAGACAAACATCCGGACATGTTGGCTATCAGAGTCAAATGACCTGGTGATATAATGTCTGTATAAGATTCTGCAGCTGTAACAAATATATAACCAATATTATTCCCAAAATTGTATTCATCTGATTGGATACTATTAATAAAATCTATTACGAACAAAAATATATACTGACTTGGAAAAATCTACTTTTCTAAGTTTAATTTGTAAATTGAATAAACGAGGTGGAAGATACCAAGGGGACATTCAAAACTCATAAGTTGAAGATCAACTGACAACACCATGGCAATTACAAAAGATGACGAAAAGACGAACAAGTCCAAAACACTACATAGAAAGCTTAAGACTGACCTACAAACACCACTTAAAATTGAGGGTGATCACAAGTGCTCTGAAAGGGTGAGCAGATCCTGCTTGAATAATATTCATTTTGTTCAAATGACTTTGGACTGATATCCACTTTGCTTATTGAATAGGTCATCCTTACCAGCATCTTTTAAGTCATACTGATGTCCTTCTTTCACTTGATCATGAATTATTTGTAGTGTCTGTTCAAAAATTTCTTCTGCTCGAGCAATTTCCAAAGCATCAGCAGAAGGATATCTGAAAATTGCCAACATGTCTTGTACCGAGTGTTTCTTGTCTTTATCAAAATACTGAGCTCTAGTTTGATTAATAGCTGTGTCCACTCGTCGTGTGGCTTGCTCTATAGCCTGCTGAACAAACCTATTGCCTGGGTAAGTTCTCTCCTCACCTAAAATACAACAAAATAAGATTAATGGACATACGGGTCAGTGACATATTATATACATTTGATTTCAAAGATCTGGTCAAGAGGTACTTTTAAAAGTTAACATGCAAAAATCACAGGTCAAAAGGTGACAGACAAACGGACATGATAATCATAAAATACATCTAGCTTTGTTGAGAGGGGGTAATTATTGAAAATCTTAAAGCCATCTTAAATTTAGAAAGAAACAAAACTGGCTTGGCAAAACCATGCTCTTATTCAGACATATAAAAAGAAATGAAGCTTAAGTAAATAAATGATACAAATAATGAAGCTGTTTACAAGAAAACCTACCAAACACTCTGAGTGCAACTGTATTTCTGGCAAAGCCAACAGTGTTCTCAGCATAACATTCATAACTGCCTTGGTCACTCTGCAAAACATTTCTTATTATCATTCGATTTCCTTGTAAGGAGAACTTGTGGGAGTTCTGTATAAATGTTCCATCCTTAATCCAGCGGAATTGTGGAGTAGGTTCTCCATCCGAAGTACAGTGGAGTATTATATCTGCTCCTGCATAAGTATCCACTGTGGATTCTCTGCTGGCTGCTATTGGAGTGGCTGTATGAGAAAACATAGCAACATCATAGTTAAATGGAGTAAAGGATATTTTAATTTCTAAAAGCAGCTAGCAACCTGGTAATTTTACTTATACAGTCAAACCTATATACGGTATAAAGGTCATTCTCAGGACAAGAAAAAACTGACCTTTGCTTTTTGTGTTTTTTTTGCTGTGCATGTACTGATTTTGTGTCATGGATGGATACCCCATATCGTTTGTTTTTCTATTATAAGGTGTAATACCACCAAATCATAGTACGTCACATCCGGTTGCATACGAAAAAGGGTCGAAATAAAATATTCCCTTGAATTTGACAGTTGTAGGAAATTAATCCTGCATCTCATTGCAGTAAAAAATTTCTGAGTCATAAACTTATATTTTGGGTGTTTCAAAGCACCATTATTTTTTTATTTGGTGTTTCTAGAGAATATTTTGGAAACTTGAGGTTACATGGTTACTAAAGCTTGTACACAGGGGAAAAAAAAGGTGAAAATTTGATTGGTTAACTTACAGTGATGGTTATTTTCTTATATGCAATGAAATGTTATGTGTGAAAGTACTGGACAGGATAAAACTTTACTCATGCCAAATTTTTCTTTATTTGAAACAAAGATAAATTCTGCACAATTTTTTGAAAAGTGCAAATTTAACAAAGACTAATAGGGGAAAATCAATGGTGGTATTACACCTATTAGAGAGGAGTGACCATTAAATTGAGATTCAAAATGCATAGGTATTACAACAGTGGATAAGAGGGGATGAACTGACAAGACAGGTGTTTACTTTCTACATATGACAAATGAAAAAAAACATTGTCACAAGACAATTAATTCAAACTGAAATCATGTTGATCATTCTATATTACATTGTGATTTGAGTTCTTACAAAGCTAATTTAGTACTGCCACAGATATATGTATGTGCCTGTCCATAGTCAAGAACATCAACATTGGTTTTGCTGTCTCTTCATATTTCTCTGTCTGAGAAATTGATGTTTGTATGAGAAATGTTCATGCATTATCCACAATGATACATATATTTGAGAACGATGCCCAAAAAACTTAAACGCAAACATATTTCTTCAGCTTTTCAACTTAACAAGGTTGTTATAGACAAGATGAAGAACTACCGCTTAATAATTTTATAGATGAACCTACACTGTTGAAGTATGGTTAGTTCAGCTGAAACCTCTACAGTAGCTACATCATTTATGGCTCTGCAGGTATACAACCCTTTATCTTTATCTTCAACATATCTGATCTGTAGTAAACGTCCATCATTCTGTACATCAAATCTTTCTTCTCGAGGTAAAGGACTACCAACTGAAAACAAAATACTGTCATGAGTTTTTGGACCTGTACTAGACCCTAGTCAAAATGTTTTTTTTTCAAATAAAAAATTCCCATAATTACATATAACTTCAGAATCCTTTTTATTCATAATTTAAAAGTTCCCTTTGAAAAAAATCAAATCTATGCCCAAAAAGAAGACGGCTTTAAGTGTTTATTTTTTTCTAAAAGTGAGCCAGTTTAGAAATCTTTCTGCTGCATAATAGTGATGTTCATATTAATTCTATTTAATAAAGGTTATATATATTCTATTAAATTTGCTAAAATATAAACTTTTTAAATTAAAACAAAAGAAAGTATTGTCTGGCTGCTAAATACGTCTATATCATTCATTGTTGATTTTTAAATCACCTATACTTGAGTGTGTCAAAAAACAATAAAATCAAGTTTGCTTGTTTGCTAGGTAAACCATGAAATTAACTATTACTTTTGCTTAATACCTATTGAAAAAGTAACTATAGTTATTGCTAGCCAATTAAATCAAGGCACAGGTAACACATGTTTGACTGAAAAACCTACTAGACCAATTTGTTACTATAATAACAATAGCTAATAAGGAATCCATGGTTCACCTAACAAACATCAAACTTAAGGGCATATGATACAGTTACAGGGGAGGTAATGACGTTGCTAATGTAAAATGTTATTTTTCGCGACGTTAAACTGTGACTTATCAGGAAAAGATGCATTCTTCGACTGATTTTTATCATTCAGACTGATTTAACTTGAAAACTAGTTCATGGACCCCTCTTTTTAAAAATGACATTAGGTTTGATTACGTATGAAGATTATTTGTATCAATTTTTATGAAAAAGTCACTGATGAAATTTTTTTAAATTAGATAAATATACAGCAAAAAATGCCTTTTTTTTTCTGAAATCATGAAACTTTGATAAAAATTCATTATTTCCAAAGAATTGTTACACAAATTTAGAGCATACTCATGTAAAGAAGATTTTCCAAATGTTTTTATAAAAATCCGCTTTGTTTATCTTTTGAAACAAAAGTTAGGTATATCTATCAAAAGGATAGAAATGTCAAAAAAAACAAAATTCTGAGTAAATGTTTAAAATTTTGACCCCATTTATCTCTTAAAGTAGCACATGAAGGTGTATTTTTTATTACATATTTGAACTGACTAGGTGAAAATTAGCTTGTATGCAAATTTTCGTAAAAAAATCACAGTGGGATCAAAACTGTATCGCATGCCCTTAACGTTCATGCAGGCAGTATATATACACACTGAAAAAGCCCAGATGTAACTGGAAATCACAATTACAATTTACAATTACAAGAATGCATATGAACTTTGTACATTTTGGGTTCAATAATTTTCAGCATAAATACTAGATTCAATGATGTTTTTAGTGCAAATCTATTTTTCCATATGACGTACCTCCTTGAATCCAAATGATACGTGGAGTTGGAGAACCTGAAACCTCACATCTAAATGTTGCTGTGCTACCTCCTGTTACTTGTACATCTGATGGTTCTGTCAGGAATTTTGGTGGCTCTGAAAATTGAATCATCATCAAATTAAGGAATTGACCTCTACAAATTAAGGAATTGACCTCTACATATTTACTGTTCATTTGCCTCATTGATGTACATCCTAATTCCCTTTTGTACTGGATGTGCATATAATATTTGTCACTAGACATAAACCAAAAACATTCAGTTAATCATAACTATCTTCTTTTTCATCAATTGTAAAACAAATTGATAAAAAATACACACTAACAGTCATTTTCTTTAGAAGTATTTACTGTGATAAAAAGTAACAAGAGTGCACACGCTGAAATGTCTCGCCTTCTTTACTAATCATTGATATTATGTTGATAGTCCTAAATATAAAGCTTTATTACAACTGCCACATAAACTTAACATTAACCAAGTAAACTAAACATTGACCAATGAACCATGAAAATGAGGTCAAGGTCAGATAAACCATGCAAGGCAGGATTGTACAGCTAACAAATCTTCCATACAACAAATATAGTTGACCTATTGCTTATAGTTTAAGAAAAACAGACCAAAACACAAAAACTTAACACTGAGCAATGAACCTTGAAAATGAGGTCATGGTCAAATAAAACCTGCATGACTGACATATAGATGATAAAATATTTCCATACACCAAATATAGTTGACCTATTGCATATATAGTATTAGAAAAAAAGACCATAACTCAAAAACTTAACTTTGACCACTGAACCATGAAAATGAGGTCAAGGTCAGATGACACCTGCCAGCTAGACATGTACACCTTACAATCATTCCATACACCAAATATAGTAGACCTATTGCATACAGTATAAGAAAAACAGACCAAAACACAAAAACTTAACTATAACCACTGAACCATGAAAATGAGGTCAAGGTCAGATGACACCTGCCAGAAGGACATGTACACCTTACAATCATTTCATACACCAAATATAGTAGACCTATTGCATACAGTATAAGAAAAACAGACCAAAACACAAAAACTTAACTATAATCACTGAACCATGAAAATGAGTTCAAGGTCAGATGACACCTGCCAGTTGGACATGCACACCTTACAGTCCTTCCATACACCGAATATACTAGACCTATTGCTTATAGTATCTGAGATATGGACTTGACCACCAAAACTTAACCTTTTTCACTGATCCATGAAATGAGGTCGAGGTCAAGTGAAAACTGTCTGACGGGCATGAGGACCTTGCAAGGTACGCACATACCAAATATAGTTATCCTATTACTTATAATAAGAGAGAATTTAACATTACAAAAAATCTTAACTTTTTTTTCAAGTAGTCACTGAACCATGAAAATGAGGTCAAGGACATTGGACATGTGACTGACGGAAACTTCGTAACATGAGGCATCCATATACAAAGTATGAAGCATCCAGATGTTCTACCTTCTAAAATATAAAGCTTTTAAGAAGTTAGCTAACGCCGCCGCCGGATCACTATCCCTATGTTGAGCTTTTTGCCACAAAAGTCACAGGCTCGACAATAAAAATTAAGCAAATATTCCTATTTCCATCACAAAAATAGCTTCCTACCAAAAAACTTGAGCATCTTCAATATTCCTTCATCTTTCCTAACTTTCATTCCCAAGCATATTTTTCTGGTCCAAAATTTCCTTGAAATATATGTCATTGGATTTTAACCACTCATCAAAACATTTAGCCAAATTAAACAATTTCTGGCACTTTTTGAGTAAAAAATTATCTGACCAACCTATCCAGTTTAAAATATAAGGGTAGGGAGAGTAGAAACTTATTTCTAAATCTGGTCTAATATTTTCTTTTACATTCATTACAGGGTTAGGTATAAATCATATGTTAAATATTCAGGGTATGCAGATTTTTTTATAACCCAGCTAAATGACCCATTCTATCAACATGTTTATGATGAAAAGAAATTATCAATGAATCTACAAACATCATATTGTAAAATAAAAATATAATAAGGCTTCCATGTATGTTATTCTATTGTTATTTAAATGTTTCTTAAAACTTCACAAAGAGGTATGGGATATTATCTATTATCTAAAGGTTTGAAAAAATAAAGTTTGGTAACTTACGATGTACTGCAATCCTAGCAGCAGCTCCTATTGAGCCTGCACTATTTACACCAGTACATCGGTACAATCCTTGGTCCTCTGTATGCACATTGTTTACATGTAGGTCTCCATTTGACATTACGGTGATTCTGTTGGATGGAGACAATTGATTACCATTCTTGGTCCATTGAATCTGTGGTTCAGGATGGCCTGTAGCTTGGCATGTTAGTTGCACTGAATTACCAACTGATGTTGTTACATCCTGGGGAGTAGCAATGAACCGTGGTGAAACTATAAAAGTGAGAGAAAAAATATAATAATCTATTAATAACTTGCAACAAGAAGAACTATGAGCTATTGCTAACTAATGATACACCTGCTTTAAGTATTAGGTAGACAGGAAATTCAAGAAAAATTAATCTGAAAATGCGTTACATGCATGGTCATTGTCTTTAGAATATATAAGTATTCGTTCAACAGGAAGTTGATGAGCCATGAATCTAAAACTGTGTCACATAGTAGAGTATGCTGACATGAAGCCAGATCAAATTTTCAGGGAGCTATTATGCTTTAGTTCCTGAGAAAAATGTGACAGAAATTTAATGGGACGGACAGACAGACAGGGGTAAAGCAGTATATCCCCCTCCTTCAGAGTGGGGGTATACAAATACTGTCACATACTACTGTGTACAAAAATGGAACTCTCAATGATAAACAATTAATTTCTTGACAAATCCTTTAAAAAGTTATCAAACCTTGTTTTGTTGAGAATAATACATCATTAATTCTGAACAATTAATTTATAGTTATCTTTGATTTTGTTTGAATTTTCTTCTCGTTTTTCAGTTTTTTTTGTTTTTTTTTGTGTCTTTTTTGTTTGTTTGTTTGGTTTTTTTGAGGGGAGGTGGGGGAGGGGTTAATAAACTTTCACCATCTTTTTATTTTTATTTTTAGATTGTTTAGAGTTGGTATTCAAAGGCAAGAAAGACAATAACTTTTTTCTAAGATTTTCACAGCCACCTGGAGACAGCAACAATCCCCTGCTTTTGAATAATCTCATTTCTTAATAGTAATTGGCCTAATGAAAATCGATCCCATACCTACAGCCTCTGAATATCTCAACTGGACCTTTTTAGCTTTGACTTCTCCTGATGGGTTTTTAGCCATACACTGATAGTCCCCTCTATCTGATTCTTTTGTGTTATATATCATGAGAGTTCCATCTTCTAATTGATTAATCCGAGGGTCACTGAAGTCTAATTGATATCTAAAATATAAGCGTAAGGTTATAAAAATAAGAAAATTATACAGACTATTATTTACTTTTTTCACATATTTAGAACTATGTTAGCTATTTATTTTTGAAAAATCAAAAAAGAATGTGAATACTACAAAGAATTTACACTAAGTCGAAAAATTTTCATTTTGCACTTCACTCTACCCAGCAGTCAGAACTTGCACACTGAAATCTTTTGAAATTTCAATACATGTAAACTTCCTAAGAATAATTTCTCTAAGAAATGTTTTGGAAATCAGAATCTTTGGTTTTCTTCAGACCTTTGAACATTTTTCACTTTCCAAAAGAAGTCACAGATAACAAATGTAAAGCACTTGTGATTTAAACCATTTGTTTTTACTAGATTTTCAAATCAAATCTAAATTGCAGACATTGTTACTTCCTTTAACAAATTCAGAGAAAAAGTCACGAAATAAAATTCTCAGATTATTTAAAAAAAAAAGATATAAGACTTTTACCTACTCATTATGTAGCCAGATGATCTCTGGTCTTGGAGTACCCTCAGCTCGACATACAAAATAAGCTGTGTTACCAAAAGTGACATTAACAGCTGTTGGCTCAGTTACTATTTGAGGTAGTGCTGTAAAACAAACAGAACTTTTATTTGAAGAGGTTAAGTGCACTTTCCTCAAATGGTACACTGGTACGATGAAGGACAAAAGGAGTACTGGGAGGAAAACTAATTATCTACAGTTAATAAGGACAAATTTTATCATAAATCTATGAACTAAGTGCACTTTGTCAAGTTTACAAAAGACTAGAGTGTGACGAAAAAATTTGACATTGATGGAAATCTGTACTGGTAGATTTGCAATATCTATAAACGCATCTCAAATTAAAAAGTCTAACAGAAATTCTTTGGATTTCTTCATAAATATCTTTAAGTATAGGTCAATATCTCAATATAAAAATTATAATTGAATCATGTCTTTTCAAATAAGCAAACAAATTTTCAAGGTTAAAAGAAGGAATAGTATAGATTGAAATGTTGATAAGATTTTATCATTTTATCATTAAGCATTTAAGAAATTTATTATATTAAGATTACCGACTGCTAAAGAAGAGTTAGGGAGGGGGGGGGGTTGATTTTAGCGGGATTTAAAATGATATAAGCATCTTTCTTATGCATTACTAATTATTTTCTATTTCAAAGGTGATGTTCCCACTTTTATATTTGATATAAAATTGCATGCACTTCACAATTTTCTCATTTGGTAATGTATAACTGAAAAAAAAAACACAAACATACCCTTATCCACTCTGAAGAATATATTTTACGCTGCTTGTTATATATTTTAAGATATTGACGAAAGAAGGGTCATACATATTTCTTTTTGCTGGATGATTGAACTTATGACAATTACAGTTGGTGTCTTGTACATAGTGCAATTGTTGTTTAGAGAAAACATATGCTGGTTGCCCTTCAATGTGTCAACACTCTTGGACGTTTTTGATATTGCTGATGAATGCAAATTTGATTACTGGTTGATTCATATCTTTATTGACAAAAAATATCCATGACAAAAAATTGCCACACATAAAACTCACTTCTTGTTGTTTATTATGATTATTGAGAAGTCTGCCTTACAAGTTTTTTTTAATATAACGATAATTGGTATCCCTTGAAAATATCATCTATAAGTGGTTGACCTTCAGTTATTCCTTAATGCATGTATATCCAAATAGTAAATAATACTTCAGTTGTTTTTCATTCAAAAGTTAATAACAAAATAATTTTATTACAAATGTCATGAACTATACCTGTGTTTACTGCACAACAAATGATAAAAGGTAAAAGACTTACTATTGCTGTTACTGTTGTCCACTATTGTTAATGTCCGCTCATCTAAATAAAATCAACATAGTTATCATATTATTTGTTTCCTTTTGTTTCAAATGTTTCAAATTAAGTTTCATCCCATATAACAATTAAAGCAACTTCTTAGAGAGGTTTCAAGTAAAATCGATATTTGCTTGTAAGCAGATGAGGGATGAACAAGATGGTGGGAATGGACATTGCGTCCCTGCTGCGGGCATCAGAGCTGCAGGAATTGGACTCGTACTATATCATAATAGTGTTATTGCACATAATATTGATAAATAGTGTTCCTCACAGTACATATATATAGCCCCTTACCCCCCCCCCCCCCCCCCCCCCCTTCTGTTCCACCTCTGTCCTCAATATAAGTGCAATAACACTACAATATTAATTTGGTTTATTTTTTTTCCAAAGTTCTAAGAATTTTTAACAAAGCTGCAATTCTACCCTATTGCCTGTAACTTTTTAATATGGTTTGTCATGAATAAATAACTCTCAGCACTTCAATATATATTTTTCACTATACCTTTGGCCTTCCCAATCATGTACTCATGAACTATAAGTATAATTGCTGGAGACTATGCATACAGTAACTTTTGGTTCTCATGTAACTTTTACAGCATGTCATTTTTTGGTATATTCACATATTGAAAATTAATGTCCATCAGGTATAGTAAGTAATTATTCACAATTCATTCAGCCTATCGTTTTTTTTTAATAAAGTAAAAGAAGTCAATTTTTTTTTTTTGCAAATGAATGAATTTTTCTAATAAAGAAATATCTTTTCTAGAATTAAGACAACCCTAAATATAAAACTGATATGTACCACACTGAAAATCATTTTCATCCAGAGTATTTAGTGCTCTCCCTGCAAACGTTGGGGGTCCTTTACATGTTACGGCACCTTGAACGTTTCTATTCCTGTCATGCAACAGTTTGTATAACCAGTACATTCTGCATCCACAATCGACTGGGTTATCGTCCAGTCGTCTAAAATAAAAGATAAAAAATAATAACTATGGGAAATTCTACACAAATATAAAACCTTACTACTATTGTTTATAAAAAAAAGTGTGTGAAAGTACTTCTAGATTCTCAGACAAACATATGTATGTACAATCATGTAATAATGGCCGTGACATAAAAACAAAAGATCTGCGACTAATTTCACAAGAGATCTTATGAGAAAAAACACTTGTAAGTCATGAACATTCCAGTTTAACTTACGATAAATTTTTGTCGCAAGAATTTTTGTGAAAAGAGTCTGCTGCCCCTGTACTTTAAAAAAAGGGTTGGAGTGATACAAACTATGAATATAAAATGCTGGATTTTTGCAATTTGGACATCAACACAACTTTAATCTTTGTTTGTTTATTTTTTAGGTGAAAATGTAGCTTAAAGTGAATCTATGTTCTTAACATAAGCCATCATGAATTCTGCCATTTTCCACAAGGTCATATCATGTTGCTGAAAAAGGGCTACACCAGTCATTGCATGATATGACCCTTGCATGTCAACAATTGTATGTTTATCAATGCTAATATGAACATAATATTGTATTTGACAAATAAGTATATTGATACAATGTCAAATGCCTCAATATACCTGTCTGTAACTATAATGAAGCCCCAATTTTGAATTCTGGTATTCATAGATACTGTAAATTCAGAAATTAATGCGTTCATTTATTATTGCAATTTTTTAAGAATGGACAAAATTGCAAGATTAATTATTGTGATTTCAGGAAAATCTGCATATGGATATATTGCGTCAGATATCATAATGCAAGTTCTTATTATTGCGAAACTCACCCAGATGCAATATTCGCATTAATAAAACCCTCATAATAATTTCTGAATTTACAGTATGTAATTGTTTCAATAGTACAGTAAAAAAAAAAAAAAAATCCAAAAAAGCCTTCTTTTGGTCAATTATATTCTATCCAAAGGTATGCAAAAAAAATGCCTGGTTTGACTCTGATAGCGTACCTATGACATCAAACAGTTATGATGATCTAAATGTTACTGAATTGAATTAAATAAAGCACTTTTCTTCTAACTGTTCTGTAAAATCTTGTTACAATACTTACAATCTTTGAAGATTATTTGTCTGTGAGAATAATCCATCTGGTAAATGCTTGATTTTATTACTATGTAAAAATCTGCAAAAGATTTATATGAAATTTGTATAATACTACACTAGAATTATAATATAAAAACACAAATATCCCTTCTCCTGTCACAAAGACGAATTATCACTCAAGCAGGAGATTTCAGATATTAAGGGGGCATAAATCTTTACAGTACATGTACATGTATGTCAAAGCAAAAAAATGTTGACAAATATATTAAAGTCTATGACATTGCTACAATAAAAATTGCTTCTTGAAAGATTGCATATTTGGTGTGCTGAACCAACAGACACATTTGCATGAAAATGTTTGACTTACAATAGTTATTGATATCTTTCAATGAAAAACATATAAAAATGGTAGCTTGAGCAAGCTAACATTTGACTATTTTCCAGTTATCTTATGTTTCAAAACACCATAACTGATTTAATAAAATGCTCCGCTGGAGCACAGCTTGATACGACCGCAGAGGTCGAACCCTTAACAGTTGGGGCAAGTATGGACACAACATTCAAGCTTGATACAGCACTGAATTTGGATTGTAATTAAATATTTGACACAGCATAGGTTTCTCACACAGAATGAAAGTGGTCTAAGAACTTAAAAATGTTTAATTTACCTATTCAAACCATATCATTATTATTTGCTTTTATATATTAATCAGAAATAACCAATTTAAAATGGAAAATTTTAAAGAAAAAAAATGAAAAAAAAATCCCCCCCCCCAATTTTTTGAACCCCCTTATGATTCATCACCCCCAAACTCAATCCCAGCTTTCCCTTTGTGGTATGGTACCTTGCAGTACAATTTCAGAGAGATCCATACACTTGAACACAAGTTATTGTCTGGAAACTAGAAAAATGCTTGTTTTTTTGCCCCTTTTTGGCCCCAAATTCCTAAATGTTTAGGGCAATTACCCCCAAACTCAAACCCAGCTTTCCCTTTGTGATATGGAACCTTGCAGTACAATTTCATAAAGATCCATACACTTACACACAAGTTATTGTCCTAAAACTAGAAAAATGCTTGTTTTTTTGCCCCTTTTATGGCCCCTAATTACTAAAATTTTGAGGGAATTACCCCCAAAATCAATCCCAGCCTTCCCTTTGTGGTATGGAACCTTGTGGTACAATGTCCATACACTTACACACAAGTTATGTCTGGAAGTTACAAAAATGCTTATTTTTGGCCCCTTTTTTGCCCCTAATTCCTTAACGGTGGGTACCATAACCCCCAAAATCAATCCCCACCTTCCTTTTGTGGTATTGAACCTTATGGTAAAATTTCATTGAGATCCATTCACTTAAACTAAAGTTAGAGTGCGAAAACTAATGTGTCTTCGGACGACGACGACGCCAACGTCATACCAATTTACGACCACAAAATTTTTTTGCGGTTGTATAAAAATATGCTTATCGTTGGTAGCAGCTAGTATTGCATGCAATATTGGGGACAAATATATATTTTATATAAAATCAATCTGCAGGATGACATCTTACCCCACCTAACACATCATTCTGACTAAGAGCAGACAGTGTTTTTTCTTACTCCTAAACAATATGTGCTCTGCTGATAAGCAGCAATGTCTGAACTGTGCATTTAGGAATGTACAAATTTTTCACTCAATAATAATGGTATTTTTTTGTCCTCCAATTGTTCAAATTTTGTCCATAAACTTTATAAAAAATTATATACTTACAACTGTTCTAAATTTTGAGTATCAGCAAAAACATCTTTTTCAATTTCTTCTAATTCATTCTGATATAAATATCTACAACAAAGCAAACAAATAAATACTTTTGCTAATGAATGTAAAGTTATGAGACTGACTAAATTTTGCAAAACCTAAAAAAAAATACAATAAAGAAATACTGCACTATGCATGATCATACAATGTTTTTTTTTTTATTATTTTGTTTTTAGCTGACCTGTAAGCTAAAAGTACATGTAACCTCTAGAGTATTTTCAATTAATGCACCTACAATTTATAAACTTTTGCAGATTGTGTTACCCTTTAGATTTATGACCATTTAGTACAGTGAATTTACTTGACCCTGCATAGAAGCACATTCATTGGGTTTCCCCTTATTGTAATATTAATATTATTATGTCTGCACAATTTAAAAAGACACTGTAATTCTGTATAGCTATTTTGTTTGTTGTCATTGACTTACTAAATAAATCTGTTTAAAACTGGCTTTAACTGTGGAAAGTCAGTGTGTGTCTATTTGTATTTTATGCAACAAAACTGAACTTAAGTTGTGGATTTTTTTCTCATTTTTGTTCTCAGCAAATAATGTGTTTTATCTAGGTTTTTTATACCAATGCAATTTAAATTATACTTACAAAAAACGTAAATTTGTAAGACCTTCAAATACACCATTTGTCAGTCTTCTTAGCTTATTGTTATTTAATAATCTGAAAACATAAAAGCAAATATAATTCTTATGTCAATACAATAAGTATAGTTATAATTAAAGTTGCACTATTCTTATACTAAATGACACAGCACATTTGAAACTTATAATACTGTGAAGTGCATAGTTAAACACAGTCCTTTGAAAGGATGCAAGGACTATGTTCTCAAAATTGAGCTATCAAATACAAAAACCAGTACTATGTACCATCTTAAAGCATGCAAAGTATAAATAATTATGAAAGCTTTAAATTTGGCAAAATAAAATTAAGATTTTTTTATTCTTATCTCTATTGAATATTCTAGATTCATACTTCTTCAAAAGATTTTTTAATATTACTACATGTATATTTGTTATTAAATTAACCCCTAAAATTTAAAAATTATATTATATCTTCCTCAGAATGAATCTGCAAATCAAGACATGGCTTTAAATATTCTTAGAGGATTCATTGAAGATATGACTGGCACCAATGAAGTTTATGAACTTGGTTTCAGAAAACTGTTTTGTCATCTTTAGTTCTTAATTCATCATTATCTACACTTAGTTTATCCCATCTTCATGTATAAATTAAGCTATAACTAAGAATTGAGAATGGAAATAGCGAATGTGTCAAAGAGACAACAACTCAACCAAAGAGCAGAAAACAGCCCAAGGCCACCAATGGGTCTTCACCACAGCAAGAAAATCCCAGACCTGGATGTAGGCTTCAACAGTTTACAATTGACATTTGACATTTGTCAAGACATGCATTTCAACCCATTTCATGTCTATTCCATCAGTGGAGGAGGTTCAAAAAGAAGGGGGGGAGATCACATTACTAATCATAAAACGAGTGGGGAACTCTTTTTGAATAAAATGGGGAGATCTAGTTACTACTTGTAAAACAATAAAAAGCAACAATTGTTATTCCTGTTGTTTTAAGAACTAACATGATTCCTTACAGATGGGTTATTACCAAAACATAGTATAATCTTGCTGATGAATATTATCAGAAGGTTGTAAAATCTTCCTTGATAAATGATAGCATGCAATAAGGAACTCATGAAATCATAAACAATAAGTATCTGATGATTTGATGATTGAAACATTTCATATTTGCCTATTGTTAAGAAGTTTTTGGGTGGTCTTTTGAGCTTCACGTGCATTAATTAGTCCTAAACAGTCATAACAGCATTCAAATTAAGTATATTTAATCTGTTGTATTTGTTGGGAAATCTATTACATTCTTGACATGTTGTTAATGATACAATTGTTTTAACAGTAAACACCCTTTTATTTGAAGATCTATTAAACTGGCGTTTTATACTTTTCAATGTTTTTAGTTTTCAATAGAACTTTAAGTTTTGAGAGAAAAAATGTTCTATCTAACATGTGTTGAAGTGTAATGTGGCACTATCAGACAGTGTTTGGTGGCATTAAGACTATATCTTCTGTAAGATATGATAAGAACTACCTATTTATCACAAAGTAACATGACCAGATGCCCTCATTATTTCAATTACTGTAAATTGTTTTCTACTTAAAGCCAATACATTTGTTGATATTAATCTAACATTAAATCTTGATGAGTAGGAAGATTCATTGTAAGAGAATATGCCTCTTTCTTCTAAGGTGCTTCCTGAACATCCAAATTAATTTCCTGTTTCATGTATTGCAATTTCAGCAGTATATTCTGACAACACCTTAAATATATTCAACTTGTACTAATAACACATTTGCCAGTTTTAAATAAGAAGTTATATAAACAATGTTTGATTTGATACTTTTAAATACAAGTTCCAAATTATTTTACAAGGAAGCTATTCAATCAACAGTTGCAAGTGGTGAAGTTGAAGTCATCCCTTTGAAAATTATACAGACACCATCACGAGTTGGTTGAAAATTACGGAATATGACGACAGATATGTTCTAATTATTGTAATCACAATTCCCTCCTCTTTTCCATAAATGTGGCATCATACGGTTTGTTCTTAATTGTGCAACATGACAGGTGCTACATGTGGAGCAGGATCTGCTTACCGTTCTGGAGCACCTTGGATCACCCCTGGTTTTTGGTGGTGTTTGTGATGCTCAGTCTTTAGTTTTTTTATGTTGTGTCTTGTATATTGTTGTTCGTCTTTTTGTTTTATTGCCATTGCTTGTCAGTTTGTCATCGACTTACGAGTTTGAATATCCCTTGGGTTTCTTCCGCCTCTCTTTTCAAAGCTTTTTCTTTCTTAGATATACAGATCTTCAAAAGCATGGAGGTACCTCCATATCCCAATAAAGTGGATATTTTAGTTTTAAAAAATCAAAGGGACTGTAAGCAAAATTTACAAAATTATACTCCCTACTCCTTAAATTCATCTTTATATACAAATTATTGCCCTTGACCTTGTAGTCTGACATTCCAACCTTAATTTGCAACATGTTATCTTGTGGTTGCCTCAATAATATCAAGCACCATTAATATCCTTTGTGACATACTCTGTAAAGGTGTACAACAGTTATATCAAGTACATGCGTAACATTTATATTCTCCATGCCATTTAAAAGTTCTGAGTCTTTTCATGATCAAATAAAACTATATGTGACCTTGACTTAGTGAAAAAATATTCCAACCTTATTCAAGAGATATTACAACAATAAAACCAATTATCGTTATATCCTTCAAGGCAATCAAAAGATTTGGACACCACTTTGTTCAGTTGAATATGGGGATTTAAACTTAAAGTTGGCGACTATGAACCTGCAAACTAATATTGCCACTTAATATTTCATAATTTTGTCACTAATATCATAGGTTCCATTGTGCTCTTGTATGGCCACAATTTAAATAATACATTTTGAATGTCTATTGTAAGTTTTTAAATTATTTTCTTCTTCAATAACTAATTTCAATTGGTGGGTTGCAACTGCCTCAAGCAATATTGGTCATACGATGATTTTAGTCTTATTTTGTTTTGATGCTTTTAAAGGTTAAAAGTGATTGGCTTTCAATGATTTTGGTATTGAGCTAATCTGATGCAAGTTATTCCAGAATAATGTGTCATACACATTGCAATGGGTATTCCAAATTTTTATTACTTTATTAATCTACGCCTTATTAAACCACAGGCAAATATGCTGCCTTCAATTCAAAGAAATGTTTGCTTAAAAGTCCAACATAAACTTGATTTAACACTGAAAATTCAAAAAAAGTTTAAACTTGCAACTTTCTATTGTGGTTAATTTGTCCTAAATTAAAAATCTTGTCAGTGGATATCTACATCCATATCTTAGTGTAAAAATAAGAAGATGTTGTATGATTGCCAATGAGACAACTCTCCAACAGAAACCAAATGACATAGAAGAAGTTAGCAATTAATGATCACCTTACAACCTTCGACAATGAGCAAAACCCATACCCCATAGCAAGCTATAAAAGGAAACGACATGACAAATTAAAAACAATGCAAATGTGAAATGTAAAAAATTTGTTGTTGATGGCTTGGCTTTGGTAGTCTTGGTCAAATCTATTTGGCAGGGCTTTGGCAGTTTGGTCAAATATATTTGGTACCGTAGTCTTGGTCAAATCTATTAGCCAGGGCTTTGGTAGACTTGGTCAAATCCATTAGCCAGGGCTTTGGTAGTCTTGGTCACATCTATTTACAGCATGTCTTATTTGAATTACTAGTAGTGTGTTTTTAAAATATGTTTTAAGACCTTATGTTGACCCATAGATGTCTTTTTATAGGTTTTATTTTGTTTTGATATTGCTGTCTCATTAGCATCTAAAACAAATATTACCCATAAAAAAGTTATAAAGAAAGAAACATCACTTGAAACTAGTGCTTGAACAACTTGAACTTTGATAAATAAATGGGGAATCAGTGTCCATGGGACACAGATGATGCCCCTGCTTGCATATCATATAAAGTTATAAAGGGACAAAACTGAAGAATGTTAAAAGTGACGCTACCCAAATTTGTACTTGATCTGAGTTTTGTGGTAATAAGTATTGTGTATAAGTTTCATAACATTTAGTTGAGGCAAACTTAAGTTAGAGAACAAAATTCAGCAATTTTTCCATTTGTAAAAGGGGCATAACTCTAGAACAGTAAAAGTGATACCACCAAAATTCCATCTTGATCTGTGTTTTGTGGTAATAAGCATTGTGTATAAGTTTCATAACATTTGGTTGAGGCAAACTAAAGTTAGAGAACGGAAATGAAAAATTAAGCAATTTTTCCATTTGTAAAGGGACATAACTCTAGAACGGTTAAAGTGACACCACCAAAATTCAAACTTGATCTGTGTTTTGTGGTAATAAGCATTGTATATAAGTTTCATAACATTTGGTTGAGGCAAACTAAAGTAAGAGAACGGAAACGAAAAATTCAGCAATTTTTCCATTTTTAAAGGGGCCTAACTCTAGAACGGTTACAGTGACACCACCAAAATTCAAACTTGATCTGTGTTTTGTGGTAATAAGCATTGTGTATAAGTGTCATAAGATTTGGTTGAAGCAAACTTCAGTTAGAGAACTGAAACCAACTTTGGGACGTACGGACAGACATACGTACAGACGGACAAGGGTAAAACTTAATGCCCCCTCCGCTACGGCGGGGGCATACTAAAAATAATGAGTGATGATACCTGGTGCTACAGGAAGGTAAGCAAGCACATCCTGCTAGGCATACTTCACCTGTTAAACTGACCATTGGTCAAAGGCATTAATTATTTGTAACAAATATAGAGTAAGAAATATTTATCTTATAGAAACTTTCCTTGCTTTTTGTATAATCAGAGATGTGTTTTAATCATAAATTCTTTTAAGATTCAGTGATGTTCCAACCAATTCTGATTTTAAAAATAATTAAGCAATCTCTATAAAACACAAAAAATTAAAATAGCAGGTGCACAACTTCATGTAAGAGAGAGGCACAAGATACTGAAGGGACATTTATATTCATAAGTTGAAAATAAACTGACAACGCTATGACAAAAAAGAAATAGACAAAAGACACAACAATTTAC